GAGTTTAAGAACTGTTGGGTTCTGTGTTTTAGAGTCTATAACACAAGTTGCACATTATGTTTATGACACAGAAAAAGATTTTAAAAAACTAAACCATTTGAATTACACATTTGTGTCGAAGGCTATAATGAGCCACTGAGATGGCTCAGGAGGTAAAAGAGCTTGACTTCAATACCCTGGACCCACGGACTGGAAGGATAGAGCCGACGTCAGCACATTTGACCTCTGACCTCCACATGTACATGGTGACAGTCTCACACTCTCCCAACCAGAATAAGTGAATTCTTTAAAAAAAAATGATTACTCATAGGCACTTTTCTATGTTTTTAAAAAAAGCTTTTAACTTAAAATATAAGGGCATGCTTTTAAAACTTTGAAATAAAACAAACTCAGAAGGGCCAAAGAAAAAGATTGATACATTCGACAATATAAAAACTTAAGACTTTCATTATTTAAATACATTCAAATGGATAACCAAGAAAATTTGACCTCGTATTTTATAGCAAATTAATTTATATAAATATAAGAGCATGTGCAAGTTAAAATGACCAACAAATAATTCAAGCTGACAAAATATGTGAGTAGGCAATTTGATGAAATATATATATATATATATATATATATATATATATATATATATATAAAATATCTGTCCAGCCTCATTCCTTACAGAGATAAAGTGAATCAATACACCCATTTTTTTATCTTGTCAAGTCAAGGCAATTATATGTAGTAGTGTTGGCAAGTTAAAAATTACCTCGTCATGCTGACTAGTTTTATGTCAACTTGACCCAGAATAGACATCGAAAAAAGGGAGCTTCAGCTGAGAAAAAGCCTACATAAGATTGGTCTGTGGGCAAGCCTGTAGGGTACTTTTTTTATTAGTGATTGTTGTGAGACAGCCTAGCCCATTGCGGGTGTGTCCATCCTTGTGATGGTGGTCCTGCTTCAATGAGAAACCAGGATGAACAAGACAAGGAGAGGTATAATAGTAACCTTAGCAAAAACACTCCTATATGTTACTGATATGAAAGGGAGTTAGTGTAATATCTTTGGAAGGCTACTGGAAATATCTTCACATTATAAAATTAGTATACATTTGGCCAACATTTCTCTTCCCATAAATTAAGCCTACTAACATACACAAAAGCCTATTAAGGATGTCCAGGGTAGTCTTATTGTTAGTAGGTAATTAACATCTTTCAATACTCATCAATGATTTCAGTATTTTGAAACAGTGGAAGACAAATGAGTAGGGTGTTGTATGAATGGACAGACACGGTGGAGTTACTAGAGAATCTGCTCCTGTCCCAGTGATAGTGTGGTGTCCCGATGCCAGAAAGGAGATCACACATGCCGAGAAAAACCCTTCAAGGACACCCTAGCATTTGTAACAGTGGTTGCATTGTGGGAACAGAATGGAAACTTTGGAAATAAGGGCCACTTTCCATTGAATAATTGCAGTTTTAAAAGCGATTGTCATTTTCGGATTTCAGTGAGCCAGACACTCCACTTCTGGCTTACAGTGTCTCATCTTGGAAGCTTCGTGCCTGCTGGGTTTAATTAGCTCCATTTTACAGATGGGACATTGTGATTTGGAAAGACTGAGTAACTTGTCCAGGGTCACACAGCTGGTGTCCTTGTTCCACCATCAATAGGAAGATTTACATAAGCAGTTTGAGGGACTTGGTTCTCAATAGACTCACATATGTTCACGATTTGCTACTTCCGAAGGCTGGAATCAAGGTTTTCAAATATTGTTATCTCAAAATAGAGTGAAGAAGATGCACTGCTTCGCTTTCTAGAATGTTCTTCTGCCAAGTCCTGATGTCAGGGCATTCTTTCACATTCTGGAAGGGGGAGTGGTCCCCTTTTCTTCCTTCAACAGTGTTAGTTTCACAAAGTGTTGAGCTTAGGGGTTTGAGTGAGAGACTCTCAGCAATACGTCTTAAAGCCAGCAAGGGTCTGTTTAGAGAAAAACTTGGGGAGCATAATTTGATTCAAAAACAATTCTAAATGAGAGGAAAAGTTCCACATTGCTCTCCAGTTGGAGTGAGTTGATGTGTAAAAACATTATGGCAACGGAGAAGACAGATATTAAGAGCCTGGGTCCAGAGTCAGAAAGGCAAACACTATATGTCTATCAAACACCATTGGCTTTCTGTTGAAAAACTACAATTCTGAATTTGTCTCTTATGGTACTGTGTCATGTACCATTTGTTGTATTGGCTTGGTTATACTTTCATGTTAGCTTTCCTACTAACTGGTGATTGTGCTGTTAAGCATTTAGAGGAAGTGTTAGAGGAGTAGAATTAGAGCTTGTTTTGTAGTCACTTAAAATAATTTAAAAATATGTGTGGATATTTTCCTGGTTGTACATCTGTGTACCATTTGCATGCGTGATACCCATTAAGGTACCCAAGAGGACATCAGATCCCCTGCAACTGGAGTTACAGAAGATTGTGAGCCACTATGTGGGTGCTGGGAACTGAACCTGAGTCCTCTGGAAGAGCAGCAAGTGCTCTTAACCACTGAGCCATCTCTGCAGCTATCCCACTCACTTCTGATCAGCCATCATTTTTCTCCACAAGTTGTATTCCAGGAAGCAGGGACTTTAGGTGGCCTAGCAGTAGACTCTGTTCTCCTTTTCTCTAGTGAGACAGAAGACATGTTTTCTAGCTCTAAGATTTTTTTCCTTAGACTCTTCTGAGAACTGACATTTGGAAAGGTACATTAAATTAGGCAGTTTTGCCAATATAAAGTTATCAAAAACCTTGACATGTAATCATTTATTATTTTTGCTTAATGCTTAAAATGATTGCGAAAAAGACATGGCTCCTGAAATAGATTAATGTCACAATGAGACATCAGGCTTCCTAGGTACTTGCTGTGTGCTTAGAAATTAGAGATATTGTAAGCCTCCTAGGCTAGGCTTCCAGAGGAAAAAGTCATAGTGAGTTGCTGGATTTGCTCAATATAAAATCTTGGATTTGCAAGTAAATCCTGGTTAATTTCTTTTAATGTGACCATGGTAAATAATATATTCCTGAGATTTATATACTGAGTGTAAAGAGTCGTTGGTTTGCTTACATCAATTTGTAATTTGAAGGAAAATTAGCATCTTGCTAATTATTTTCATGACAGCTCAAGATAAGGCATATATCAAAAATTGTCTATCTACCCAAATGTGTAAAATAAATATTTCAGAAGTGATAGTATTATACTCATATTCCATTTGAATAGTTTCTGATACTTTCCATTTTATTCCATGTTTTAAAAAATGTAATGTTTATTATGGATGCCAAACTTATTTTTTTAACTTATTAATGGGATTTCACTATCAGCAAACTGTTCCTTGAAATGGTCCACTGTTCACATTATTCATATTTATAAGACTCAATTATTTGGAGGTTCTTGAGTGTTCTTATAGCTTAGTTTGATTTATTTGCTGGGAGCCAAACTTGTGTAACTCACTATGCTGGACTTCCCAGGGACTACAAAGAGTTACAGCTACAACTATTTCAGTGAGTAAAATTCTAACAGATTGAATGAAATGACATGCAGTCTGTCCTGGAGCATGTGCTCTGGTAGATGAGTAATCAGCATGAAGAATGCAATAGCTTTAGGAGTACCTTCTAGGGAAAGATCTTTTCTCATCTAGTCAATTTTTACAGGAGGGCATATGGAGAAACTGAGGCTGTTTTTCTATCACATTGTGTTACTATTTGGGGTCTAAATCTGGGACTGACCATTTGTAAAGTGCAAATGATTTCATGTGATTAAATGGATATTGTGCTAGGAACAGAGGAAGCTATTATAAAAATATATGAACTTCAGAAACCCCAGAGACTTTCAGGAGGCCCTGACAATCTCTTTTTTTTTCCCTTGATGGGGAGATGAGCTAATTGTTGCTGATAAAGACAGAAAATAGGTCTTTAAAGGTTGAGAGAAAGCTGGACAGAATGCTCAGTGGGTAAGGAAGACTGACTAACTGAGTTGGATACCTGGAGTGTACATTTTAGAAAGAGAATTGAATCATTAAATCTTTCCCCTCATCTGAATGTATCCACTCTACCCTGATACTTTCCCCATAAATAACTGAATGCAATTTTTCTTTCAAGAGATACTTTCTATTGTTTCATGCTACTTCCTTAGGAAGTTCTTTGAATCTCTCATTTAGAATTTGTATGTCAAAAATCCTTATTTCAAAACCAGGAAATTTCTTTTCTTAAGGTCATCCAGGCAAGAAACCAAATATTGCCACCAGCCAGAGAGTGTCTGAATTTGTTCTTATCAGGAAATATATTATGAGCTTAAACCTGAAAGACCATGTGTGCTTTTACTGGGAATCTCTTTCCATCATGAGACACAGTAGGATTCAAAGGAGCATGCGCAGATCATCTCAGCTGCAAAGTCCACTTCACTGGACTCTTATACACATCCCTGCTTGTAGGTTGGAGATAGAGTTAATTCTGTGAACTTACGGATGTATGATTTTACGACTTGGGGAAACTGAAATTATTTAGGTACAAGAGAGCGAAGTTGGGACAAAATAAGTGAGCAGAAATAAAAGTTGAAAACACAGCAGCTTCACAGGAAGTCATGTACTCCCTCAGTGTCTATAGGGAAATCCATGTTCAGTGTTCTTCGAGACAGCCCCACTGCCCTTTCCTTCCAGAACTCACTGCCTGTGTTTCCATGTATTATTCACTATGAGCATTTATCTCAAAGCACCTCTTTCTTTAAATGATATCACCAGTCTACAGACTTCCCAAAGGTCAACTTTGTATTTTTACATTCTTAATACTATCTAAACTCTATTATTATATGGGATTAGCGGCTAACAAATCATTTTCTATGAATAAATTGGTACTTTAATATAGTTTGGTGTGTCAGTTTAGACAAGGTACTTCAATTTAGCCCAATGCTTGTTTCTTCAATTAACTGTTAAAAAGTAGTTTATAATAACTCTGGATATTCTTCATTCTTTTGCTTTACAGTCAACTTTGACCATTTTGAAATTTTGCGAGCCATTGGGAAGGGCAGTTTCGGGAAGGTAAGAACTGAATTGTCCAGCTTCCGGCAGAGATGTGGGTCACAGGATCGGAGAATGGGGGAATTCCTGAGGTGCTGAGGTTACAAAGAAATATAACTCAGAAATATTTTAGAATGTACTTTTACAAAAGTGTCATCATCATTCAGTGAAAGTCAGATGCAAGATGAACCAAGTGTAGTTTTAGGACTATCTTGTTCAAGTCAAATCTTCCTACCATCAGGAAAGTGGGGGAGTTTCTCTTTACCTTAAAGAAGGTTAAGATTACAGTTTCTTTTGCAAATTCTCCAGTAAGAGTGATCTTATTAACATGAGGCTTAATGTTTTCATGGGGAAAAAAGCCATTTAATTTCTATATTTTCTCCAATTTGCCATTTCCAAAATTCTATCATGAAAAATATACACTGTCCAGCTTGCAGTAAGAATATTTTGTGTTCATTCCATTAGTTTCTCTATGGAGACATACTTTAAGATAAAATAATGATTTTGTATAAAATTTGCATGTGATTTTGATGACTATTATATAGGCTTCTAAAAGAATTACAAGACATGGAAAAGTGTGTAGCTGTTTCCTCATGCTTAGTCTTTCCCATTACATCACCCATGCTGTGAAAAAGAGGCTCTTTGCCTAGTGTCTTTCATCTTACCTTTTGGGCCACATCCATTTTAACCACTTAAAGGAGGATGGAGGATGTTATTTGTTATCAGGAGAGTCTTAACGTGGAAGCAGATTTAAATGTTGTCTTGAAGACCCCAGGAGCAGAAGCAGGAAAGCTAATATAGAAAAATAGAAATATAATTTTTGATGCACTAAATACATGGAGAAATAAAATGAAGTCTACCCCGAGCGGAGTAAGAACTTTAGTGCCTCTCTGCCATGCTAAGGAACAAGTCTCGCCTCGTGTCTCTCAGCCACAGTCTTCCTCCTCCCTATTCACCTAGCTCACCTGGGTTTACATCATCAGGTCTGCATTGTACAGAAGAATGATACCAAGAAGATGTATGCCATGAAGTACATGAATAAACAGAAGTGTGTGGAGCGGAATGAAGTGAGGAATGTCTTCAAGGAACTCCAGATCATGCAGGGCCTGGAACACCCTTTTCTGGTGAATTTGTGGTAAGTGCTTTGGCTGCACCTCTGAGACAATGCTCCTGCATCCATCTGCAAACACAGTTACACCAATTACATCACGAGTGCTTGATGAGTGTCGGCCAGTCCTCATTATAGTTTTCCTTAATGGATTGTACATGACTTTTGGTATTAAAATGAGAGAGAAAAAAGTTTCTTTTATTTAGTTGCTGTGCTGGGAATCAAACTCAGGACCCTCTAGTCAAGCACTCCATCCAAATTTTTTTTAACATGTGTATGTGTAATGTATGAGTGTAGTATGTGTTTGTGTGCATGTGCATGTATACATGCATGGTGTTAAGTAAGTTTATATGTGCCTGTGAGTGTGCATACAGGTATGTATGTGCAATTGTACTAGTGTGAAGGTATTAGGAAAACCTTGGGTTGTCTGCTTTTTCCATCTTATTTGAAATAGGTCTCTCATTTATTGCTATGTACAGGAAGCTAGCTGGCCTACAAATTTCCAGGGATTCTCTTGTCTCCATCTTCTATCTGACATGCTGGGATTACAGATGTGTGCAACTGCATTAAGCTTTACATGGGTTATAGGAATCCAAATTTCCACTCTCACGCATGCTTACAAAGCAAACACTTTATCTGCTAAATCATCTCAGCTCAAAAGATTTTTTTTGTTCCTATTTGTCAGGAATAAATACTCCCTTTCACCATGAGGTTAGTAGTTGTCCAAGAATTTTAATTACATGGACCAATAAGAAATGTGCTCAGATCTCTTATCTTTAATCAGATAGATTTTTCTAATAAATTGAGGGACAGAAACTTTGGGTGTCAAATATGGACTCCTTGGTTAACATGAAGTTTATCTTCTGGGTTTGTAGAAAACACTTTCTCCTTAAGATAAACAGTAACACGCTGATTTCTTTGAGACCTCTTTGGAAATAGGTATATGTTTTATTATTGTATTATATACTACCAGTGATTTGGTAAAATCACGTGCTGTCTTCCTCAGCCAATAGGTTTAAATGGTATTAACACATTAGTGGCTAAACATCAGCTCTCTGAGATCAGGTCTCAAAGCCATTACCACAATCCAAGGCTTAGAACACATGAGAAGCTTATAATGTTTATTACCTCCAGCGCTTTTCGGTGCACTGGGAGCTTTATGTTTCTCTCTCGTTTTACTGCACATTTAATGCATCTATTACGTTAAGAGCTGGATTGTAAAATTAACTCAGTATGACTGTTATTTAAATATGCATGCCAAGTAGTTCTAACTTGCCAGCAGGAGCAAAGAAAATGAAAGCCTTTATCTAGAGAATGCTAATGGAAAAATAATTGAGATTTTGCTATGTGTTTGAGCACATCCTTTTGGAGGCATCAGTGCACAAAGCCTTCCTCCATCCGTCTTTACCTAACACAGTCCGCTCAACCGGCAATGTGTTAGATGCTTCTCAGTTGAAAAGAAGATTGTTCTGTGTGACTTAGAAATAGATCTATTATAATATGTTCACTACTCAGACCTCCTAAGAGTCTAATTTTGGTACAGCCTCAATGTATTTGTTAATCAGTATTTTAGAGTGGCCTATTCAAAATGCTGCCATGTAAGATGCTAAAAGGGATGCAGCAGCTCCCTCTTGCTTAGCAATCATATTCTCTCTTCTCTCCCAACCCTGAAAATGACGAGGTGCTGTCACTTCACGGCCTCCCTTTGTTAAAAGTCATATTTTTCCTCCTTAAAAAGCTCAGCCAACTCATTTTCCCTTTTTAGAGCCAAGAACTCTTCATAAGGACACACCTAGAGTTTTCCTTTTCTATGCTTTGTTTCTTCTTGCTATGTGGGCACAGGCAAGGAAACCTGGGTGCAGGGATATGAAAAATATAAAACATTTAGAAATTCTGTCATTTCAGACCACAGTCTGTTCACTATGTGTGCAGAGCTGGCCATAGCATGACAGGTATGCTTCAACTGTGGTTCTCAACCTTCCTAATGATGCGACCCTTTAATGCAGTTCCTCATACTGTGGTGACTCCTGAACATAAAATTATTTTGTTGCTGCTTATATAACTATAATTTCTGGCTGTTACAAATCATACTGTAAATATTTGACATGCAAGATATCTCATATGTGACTCCTATAAAAGGGTCATTTGAGCCCCAAAAGGGTCATGACCCATAAATTGAGAACTACTGTGCTGTAACATATGTTCCCTGTTCCTTTGTTATTCTCACTAAAGCTCACAGTGGACTATTGGGCACTCTCCATTGATGGACAAGAAAGAAAAGGAAGCCTCACCTCTACCATACACAGTGCAGAGCACACCTAGAGGTGGGACATTCCTGAAAGTAAAGCAGAAACCATTAGCAACACTGTGTGTGTGGGGGGGAAGATTTTCATCATCTCATCTCCCATTCTTTTCTCTCCTTCCTCCTCCTCTCTCCCTGGGACTTTCTTTTTACCAGTTAGTACCCCTACTTTTAAATGTTCCCTTTGTATGTTTGGGTCCCATGAAGCTTAATTAGGATTGCTTGCATGAGGATAGGTGGGGGAGGGGTCATTATTTAACAGGGCCTAGGCAACTTATCAGTGTCTACCCCAGGAAAAAAAAATCACTTTCCCAAGCTACCATTAACTGTTCTATAGTTCTTTGGGATAAGTGGTGACTCATGATGAAATATTGACAGGGCTTGTCCAGATAAACACAGCTAAAATGAATCCATGACTATAGCATCTACATCCCTCTAGACAAGTTTGTTTGTTTGTTTGTTTTTTGTTTTTTTTGTTTTGTTTTTTGTAACATACTTCCCATTCTCTAACTCATTCTTCACACTCCTTCTTCTACAGTGTCCACTGGGCTTGGACCACGTGATATAGAGATATCTTCTTTAGGGCTGAGTGGACCACGTGATATAGAGATATCTCCGTTAGGGCTGAGCTCTCTACAGTCCCTTACCCTTGGCATTTTGATCAGCTATAGTACCTACATTAACCACTGGGGAGTGTAGCAAGAATCCTCTGTGTTAAGAACTGAGAAAAGCACTAATCGATGGATATACACAAGAGTACCCAGAAGGCAGCTAGACTACTTGTCTCCTTAGCAAAACAATAGCAGTGTGTTCCAGTGATTTCCTCAGTCACCAGCTCTTGATCAGGTTTATTGGACCAGGCATAGTTTCTCTCTGGCAGAGCTGGCGTAGAGTCCAGTCAGAGAGCTCTTGCTTATCCTATCACATTGCACTGATGGGTGGTGTATCCTGCCAGGTAGATTGTTATTGTAGTTCAAATTGTTTCATCTGGGTAAGACTATAGGTGAATTTTCTTCTTCAGTGGTCTTCCTAACAACTTCCAGCACTATGGAAGCTAACCCCCAGGGATGAAGTTGCTGAATCAATTTCAGCTTCATTTCCCCACATCCAATACCAAAATGTATGCTGTCTCCAGCAGTAGACTCTTAACCTAGGACAATGACAGTAGACTGTATTGTTTGGGGGTACTTATGGCACCTCCCTGATCAGCAACATATAAGGAGAAATCCCACACCTACACCAAGAACTCAGAGTTTTGTTTACTATTCCATGGCTTCTAGAAAAAGCATTATCACCCTGTGCAGCATGCCTTCATTTAAAATCATTTTTTGAAGCTGTATTTCTATTAAGCTTATAAGATAGGTTTACATATGGCTTTTGGACACACCCCAGCCTTGGTTATTCCTCTACAAATCTCCTTTGCCACATCTTCCTAATGTCTTCCCCACTCAAACTTCTCTACTCCTAGTACTGCCCTTTCTCACTTCATGTCACCCTGTCCCCGTTGAGTTCTTGTGATCCACTCCCCACAGGCCCATAGTAGAAGCCAGGTTACTTATTGTTTCTCTCTGCAGTGCTTTCTGTCCTAATGAGGTACAGTGGTTTTACGTGAAATTTCCCAAGAAATAAGAATGTTATAAAGCTTCAGGATCTTAATGATGAATGATCTGTCATTTTTAAGACACATTGCTAGAAGACATAGTTACAACAAATAACTTAGGTTGTTTCAGCAGATGAAAAGGATTACTCAGCCTATAGGCTCTTGCAACAATTTGTTAGCAATTTTTGTTCCTTGTTCCGTGCAGGTACAATATTTTAAACACACCAGTCACTAACAGTCCAGTGTAGATGCTTGGTTCCAAAGCATCATGGGAAGTGCCTTTAATTTAGTCTTTATTAGAGTTGTTTTTGATTTTCCCCCTTCATTCTGCAAATCAAACACAAGTTAATTAAATATTTACAAAATATTATATATAACTTAGGTTTATGCTCTGGCTTAACTATTAGATTTACTTTGACATCTCTCAAGCTTTGGAGATGTAACCAGTTCAAAACTCTTGCCTATTTCTTGAACTCTGCTTTGCCAATTATGTTTTTTCTGTCTAAATTGCATTAAATTATCTTCTAAAGATGCGTCCAGCTTCAGGGGTTTATTAAAAAAACTTCACTTACTAAGCTGATAAAAAAAATAACCAAATTTCTCTTAAGCACTCTTTGCTTTAATGTTAAAAAGTATGAATATACAGATACATATGTGTGTGCACATGTATCTTTTTTATGTGTATGCATATGGATAATGCATAAATATATGCTTGCATACGTATGTGTATATATATGCTTGAATTTTTCTGCGTATTGCCACCAATTTGAAAAAAAGAAAAAGAAACCCATAGACAAACGAAAGCTCCTTAAAGTCTTAACCCCTTGAAGCAACCATATTTAATATGTCGATATGTGCTTTTTAGCAAAAATATTTGCATATAGTTTTCTGAATTTTGTCATGCAGCAGTTCCATTCTTTCCTTCATTAGTGTGTATATCTCTTGAGAACTGGAACCAAGCCATAGTTCAAGAAGCCATATAAATGTGGGAGGAACGGTTTTTTGAATCTCAAACAACCAATAATTTTAGCCTATGTCTCAAGTGCCACACAGACACATTTTAAAATTATTCATTATGGAGTTTATCTGAATTTCAAATCTATCTGGCTAGAGAGTACTCTTATT